GGGTCTCCCCTGCCGGGGCACAGGGCTCAGCGGTTCCCAGAACCCGGTCAAACCCCCAAAGGAGGGTCCGTGTCCTGGGGCGGCTGCTCCGGTGACTGCAGACTGGCCTCAGCCAACAGGAGCAGGTGCTCTCCCCGTTCTGGGGCCAGAACCTGAAATCAGGGGCTGTGCTCCCTCGGAGGCTCCCGGGAGGGTCCTTCCAGCCTCCGCAGCCTCTGGGGGCTCCTGGCCGCATCCCTTCAATCTTCAAGAAGGAGAGTGTTTACGTGGCCCCGTCCCCTTACCCAGAGGTCACAGGTAAAGGAGTCACAGGCTGTGGGCAGCCCCGGGTTCCCTTTTCAGCTCCGCCCTTTTGCTGCTGTGTGCCCTCGAGGAAGTCGCTTGCCCTCTCTGTGCTGCAGAAGCCTCACCTGTGCCATAGGCCACCGCTGCTCCTCACAGGAGTGTGGGGTGCTGGTCTGTGCGCCCCACTTGCCCTGAGGGCTTTCCGCTCCCCAGTCAGCACCCCCGCCTCACCACCCTCCCTCCCGCAGCCTCCAGGGACGGCACAGGCCCCTCTGACCTCCCGCATGGACGGCCGCTGCTCTCCTGTCTCCTTTCAGTCCCAGCTGTCACTCCCGCCGGGAAAGACAGGACTTTGTCCAAGGGCTGCTGACAGGCAGGCGGACAGCCAACCAGGGAGGCGGCTCCCCGGAAACAGGTCCATCCAAGGCCTCAAGGGGGCGGGGCCACGCGACCACCAGGAAGTGGACACTGAACAAGGGGCGGGGCCACGTGACGGGGGGTGGGGCCAGGTAAGGCTGACCCCCCAGCACGAAGCCTCACGCTGAACCCCAACCCTAAAGCCCAGGTCCCGGCCTAAATCCTAACCCTTTAGCCCTGGGCCCTGACCCCTTCCCCAACCCTTCCCTTCTCATCCTCCAGCTTTTGCCCTCACCCCTCCCCGCGCTCCCCGCGGCCCCTCATCTCCGCCCTAACACTCGGCAGCGCGTTCCCTCGAGAAGCCCCAGCAGCTCCGCCCGGACTCGCGCCCGCAGACGCCAGGGCAGCGGGGAGTGGGCGCGTGTCCGCGCAGTCGGTGTCCGGACTGTCGTCCAAGCTCACGCAACCCGCGCGCCGCGCACCTCACGATCCCAGGCACGACACCGGAGTTGGTCACACCCCTCGTCCAATCGCTTCCGGTCGGCTGCTTCCCGGACCCGCCTTCGCCTTCCGCCTTCCGGCGGGCCTGCGGATCCGGGTGCTATACCGCGCATGGCGGTCGCGCGCGCCGGGGCGGCGGACCTGGGCTTCGCGGAGGTGGCGCCGGCCTGGCGGCTGCGCAGCCAGCAGTTCCCCAGCAAGGTCGGCGGCCGGCCGGCGTGGCTGGGCGAGGCCGGGCTGCCCGGGCCCGCGGAGCTGGGGTGCTCGCTGTGCGGCCGCCCGCTGGCCTTCGTGCTGCAGCTGTACGCGCCCCTGCCGGGCCGCGCCGACGCCTTCCACCGCGGCCTGTTCCTCTTCTGCTGCCGCGCGCCGCCCTGCTGTGCCGGCCTTCGCGGTGAGCGGCGGGAGAGGGCGGCTGGGGTGGGGGGCCGCCTCCCGGGGTTCGGGTCCCGCCCCCGCGCCTTCCAGACCCGACTTTTCCTATCGAACCGGTACTCCGTGCGCCGGCTCATGTTCAGACTTTAAAATGGTCCGGGTTCAGAAAGCCGGGTCCCAACCGCTTTTCCGCATTTTCGCCGTCGGTTAGGCGCGATGGTAACCGGATTGACCGGAGCCAGCTCGGCGGGGGTCCCCAAACTAGTTTCTAGACCTGAAGACTTTCTTGTTCTTTTCCACTTTTTCTCCCTCTTCTTTCATCACATAAGTTCACCGAAAGCAAAAATGGCCTTCTGTCTTTTTAACAGATGAGTGTCTTTCATTCCTGTGTGGAATGGAAGCTAAATGATTTGAATTGACATACTGTTTTATTTAAAATGCAATGTTTCTTCTCATTTTTCTTAGTTTTTAGAAATCAGCTACCCAGGAAAAATGACTTTTACTCCCATGAGCCGCCTTCTGAGGATCCTCCCCCAGAGACCGGAGCGTCCGTGCGCCTCCAGCTCCAGTCCGGGGCTCAGCTCTGCAGGGTGTGCGGCTGTTTAGGCCCCAAGACGTGCGCGCGCTGTCGCCAGGCGCATTACTGCAGTAAGGACCACCAGGCTGTGGACTGGAGGTGCGGGCATAAGCAGGCGTGTAGACAGGCAGGTGAGTCCATCTTCTGTTTAAATTCCAGCTCAGCTTCATAGCACCTACCAACTGAGATTTTTATTTTGCCCAGAAAAGTTAAAATTAGAAAAGCTGTGATACTTCTCAGAAGTTCGGTAGCGACACCACCTTTATGCAGAGCTGTGCGCCGTGGCCAGTGTGGCTGAGTTGGTCTTGTGGTGCAGGAAAGGCCTCCCTTGGATTCCCAGTCAGGGCACGTCCTGGGGTTGCAGCTTGATCCCCAGTAGGAAGAGCTGTGAGATTCTGCCCACTTAGTTAGGTCTCATAGGAGCAGCATTTAATGGTCTGCAACCTAAAATGTTGGAGTTATAGATATTAATTTACCAGGAGAAGCTGTTACTGTATTGGAATATACTTTAGAAATATACTGTGAGACCATTCTTAAAACTAAGTTATTACTGGTGGTACAAGTTACCTTTTTTGTTTCAGGTAATGTGGACAGTACAGTTCCAGATCACAACTTCCTTTTTCCAGAATTTGAAATTGTAATAGAAACAGAAGATGAGACGACACCTGAAGTTTCAGAAAAAGAAGATGAACCGGAGATTATAGGGAGCATGGGTAAGGAGTCAGTTTCAGAACTTTATTCGTTAAGTGATTGTATGCGATGCTTGAAACAGTGGCTTAGAGTCCAGAAGAGGTGCTGACAGGGAAGGCCAGCCCACTCGGAGGCTGCAGTACAGAACCTTCCGGTGCTGCCTCATCTGACGACACCCGTCTTGTTCCGCCCACCGTGACACATGTCAGGCACATCCTGGGTCCATGAGGTGTGTCAGTCAGAGGAAGTGTGCAGGTGGCACTTGGGTAGGGCTGCACAGGATGCTGGGAAATTGGTAAGTTCATCTGGGTTCAAGGTCTATTCCTCAGATCAAGATGGCGTACATGAGAGAATGTGGGGCACTTTTTTCTTTTTCTTTTTTCATTGATTTTAAATATGGTTTCTTGATGTTGATTTTTAGAGAGAGGGGAAAGGAGAGAGAGAAACATCAGTTTATTGTTCCACTTATTTATGCGTTCATTGGTTGATTCTTGTATGTGCCCTGGCTGGGATGGAACCCACAGCCTTGGTGTATCAGAATGACGCTCTAACCAACTGAGCACCCGGCCAGGGCCAGTAGGCCCTTTCGAAGTGAGAGGCATCTCTCATTGTCCCCACCTTGATCCTTATCTTCTCATATAAATTTAAACAAGAGACCTCCAGTGCATTGCGAAAAGCCAATTTAATAAAGCAGTTAGAGCAGTGGTCGGCAAACTCATTAGTCAACAGAGCCAAATATCAATAGTACAACGATTGAAATTTCTATTGAGAGCCAAATTTTTTAAACTTAAACTATATAGGTAGGTACATGGTTATTAACTTAGGGTACTCCTAAGCTGGCCTTTGCTAAAAACGTCCTCAATCTGATTGAGGTACGTTCACTGAGGTCGACCCCTTCCAACTCTCCCATCTACACTCGTCTTGTATACAGTGGGGCCTTGACTTACAAGTGTCTCGAATAACGAGTTTTTTGAGATACCAGCTGTCTCTCGGCCGATTTTTTGCTTTGAGTTGACAGAGTAATTTGAGTTAACAAGCTCCTTAACGAACTCAGTCTTGGAACGAATTAAACTCGTAAGTCAAGGCCCCACTGTACTTGTTTCGTCTATCTCCTTTCCGAAAACCGACTTCTGCGCATGGGCCACGAAGTTTCAATCGCACTGTACGTGTGCGCCCGCACGTGGTATTTTGTGGAAGAGCCACACTCAAGGGGCCAAAGAGCCGCATGTGGCTCGCGAGCCGCGGTTTGCCGACCACTGAGTTAGAGCATGCACCTTTGGTGAAAAAGCAAAGCAAGCAAACCTATGCATGTGGCTTAGGAAGCGCTGACAGACTCTCGGCTAATCTGCAGAACCAGTTGGGTGGGGGTCTGGCATTATATACTCTCCTGTCTGTAGGTTTCAAAATTCCTCTGCTGGATATTTTGGTGCAGATTAATTCTCAAGGTCCCTGTTTATTTTGTTGTGTCCTTCCCAGAATTCATGAGAAGCACCTGGCAACTTTACCTTGCCAAGCCTGAGACTGCTGGCTTCTCTGCTTAGGAAATAAAATGGCCCTTTTTTCCTCCCCCCCCCCCCCCCCCTTTCTGCATTCTCTCCTTAGGGAGGTTTTTAACCATTTGCTCTCAGTCCTTGGCTGGGGAAGATAATGACTTATTAGTTACATGCTAACTGCAAATTGCCCACACTGTTTGGGCTTGTGTTAACTTTGCTGCCTCGGTTTCCCTATTCCTCCTGCCCTGGAATCCTGTAATATGACCAGTTTTACACACATAATTTGGTTAATTCTCTAGAGCTGATCATACTCCAGAGCCTCTGCTGATCAGATACCTGAGAGGCTGATTGGCAGCAGCATTTATTCAACACTTACTCTGCACCAAGGGCTTCTGGGCATGACCTCATGAAAATCGCAATTAATTAGCAACCCCATTTTGCAATGACGACTTTGAGGTTCTGGGTGTAACTTGTTTGGTCATGTAACTGACCCAAGTTGTTAGGTTTTAAATGGAGTTTGAGCTCACATCTCACTCACTAGAACTCGAGCTCTTAAGAACCACCACAAAATTAGATTTTAGATTAGAATGTTGGCTTACTGGTCTATAGTTCATATAAGGACATCAGAAATATATAGTAATACTTGTCACAAAGATTAACTGCTGTTGGGGACAGCAATGGTGCAGGTGGCTGAGGTCCTAGGAGCTAAGAGTGCAGAGGAACAAGCTGGCAGGACAGCTGAGCAGGTGGGACAGCTGGGAAGAGAAGTGTGAGGAGATTTGAAGTAAGAGTCCAGGTGGCATAAGGGTGATAGTGATAAGAAGCGCTCATGGCCCTGCCTGGGTGGCTCCCTGTTGAGCGTTGTCCCATGAATCAAGAGGTCCTCAGTTTGATTCCCAGTCAAGGCACATGACCCGGTTGTGACTCGATCCCCAGCCAATGGATGTTTCTCAACTATATTTCCATCTCTCCCTCTCCCTTCTCTCTCTAAAATCAACAAAACCATTTTTTTAAAAAGAAGGGCTCACATTTGTTGAGTGTCCTAATGTGTACTGGGCACAGCGTCCTGATCCCAGGACTTGGGTCTGTTCTTTTAAATTTGAAACTTTACTGAAGAGAAGTCGTCACCAGGAACCTGGGTAGTAAATAGTGCTTCATGGAGCACCTGGAAATTCAGGTGGTCATGCAGAGCCAACCTGAAAGATCTTAAATAGGGAAAGCCCTTGGGAACATCTGGCCCCCGCTATCTGATTCATTCAACACTTCGTTGGTTGTTTGAGACTGGCTGCCCTCAAGCGGTGTGAATTGTTGAGTCCTGGGGATGATTCCTGTTGCCATAATGGTTGTGGATGGTTTTTAGGTGAAGCACCTGCAGAAGAATTGGAATCCATGGCAAAACATGAATCCAGGGAAGATAAAATTTTCCAGGAGTTTAAAAATAAAATAGCCCTGGAACCAGAACAGGTAAAGTAGAACTTGCATGGTTCCCTCTTGTGTTTTTTTTTTGTTTTTTTTTTTTTATTGATTTTTTACCGAGAGGAAGGGAGAGGGATAGAGAGTTAGAAACATCGATGAGAGAGAAACACCGATCAGCTGCCTCCTGTACACTCCCACTAGAGATGTGCCCGCAACCAAGGTACATGCCCTTGACCGGAATCGAACCCGGGACCCTTGAGTCCGCAGGCTGACGCTCTATCCACTGAGCCAAACCGGTTAGGGCTCTTGTGTTCTTTTAGGGATTTATTTTAGGGGTGTTATCCTTAGAAGCTCTCTTGTCACAGCAGCCCTTCACACAAAGGGAAGGTGTTTTTCCTGTTCTGATCCTTTTAGCAGTTACTGAGAGAACAAAAGTTACACTATCGTATAGGATGTGTTTTATTTTTCTTCCTTTTTTTTTGGCATTGCGAGAACGACTATATTATCGGCTCCAAGTCTTCTAGCATACACTGTGCAGTTGGATCATTGCACACACTGTCAGTGTAAACCAGATGGTTCCCAAACTTATTTGGCCTACTGCCCCTTTCCAGAAAAAAATATTAGCCCCTGGAAATTAATTTTTTTAAATTTTTAATAGCAGTTACTCCATCGGCCCCCAAATGCACCTGTGGCCATCCCCGCCCCCCCTGGATCGCTGCAGCCGCCACCGGGGGGGCGGTAGCGCCCACTTTGGGAATCACTGGTGTAAACAAATGTGGTTGCCTTTATTGGAAGAACCCTGCACACAGCGCATGTAACTGCCGGGTTACCCAGCACCCTCACCCCCTCATAACGTGTGAATGAGCATCTATGATCCCCAAGGCCTCCCCAGCAGCAGCGGGCCAGTGGCACATCTGCTGGCTAAGCACATGGGACTGCTTTCACCCCCGCATCCGGCATAAATGACTAGCAGCCCGCACTCTGCTGCACCGAGGGCACTTCTCAGGCCGCGACGGCCCTCACAGCAGCACAAGGCACATCTTTCTGTAGTGATGTGAGTCAGGCCCTGGCTCTGCACTCTGCAGGTCAAAGGCCAGCACCTGGGCTGGTCCAGCAGGAGCTCCATCTGTCCTGAGGTGACCGTGTTCACAGCTGCATCCATCCCACTGACCAGCCTGCCCAAGCCGGGTGCACGCCCTTCCTGGCCCCTGGATCAGACTTTAACCAGGTGGTTCTTGCCATGAGCACGTGGCCCGGTCTTATCTGCTGCTGCAACAGCACTGAGTTCACACCTGATGGGCTCCAGGTCGCCCAGCAGCCCAGCACAGGCGCCAAGTGTCAGGCTGTCAACCATCCAGATGTCCAAGGCCAGGATGGTGGGCGTAGGCAAACCTCTCTCCTCTCTGCCACCTAATGACACAGAAGGGACATGGCAGCCACACCTGCCACACTTCTAGGGGCAGTGAAGGATGTATTTTCTAAAAACATTAGGGATAGGAATGTGTAATATGGCTTGAAAAAACCAACAAGACATGTTAACACAGACACTGGTTTTGTAAAAAGAATCCTGGATCCTGGAGTTACATCATGAGCTTATGTAATCGCAACTGCGGTGTGAAAAAAAGAGGGAGATTGCTCAGCACGCTTCCCTTGCTCATTTCTGTTCTTCCCCTTCGCTCTCTGGCCGTGAACAGCAGTCAGAGAAAACTTCCATAAACCAGTCACTGGATCACATCAGTATCCAGGAGCTCCTAGGAAGAGTTGGTCTAGGTTGAAACACTGACAAGGTGGTGTTCAGCACTGTGTGCTTTAAACAAAATAAAGGAAAACCATTCGATTGTTACATAATATCTTAAGAAATGTGCCTCTCTAAGTGGCATTTACTGAAACACTTTGTTTCACTTGGTATTTGTCCCTTTAAAAATTAAGGTTCCTGATACCTGTGTGAAGGAAAGCACAGACGCTGCACGTTCGAGTCAGAATGGGGAAATAGGCTTATTGTCAGTCCCTTCACAGAACATGAGATTGATTCAGTTTTGATATCCTGAATTAGGCTGAAATCATTGCTTTCATAACACTGAAAAGGAATTAGCTTTGAGAATATGTGGGGTTGGGGCGGGGGAAACTCTTAGGTAAGATGTGGGTGATCGGAATGTGATCCTAATTGATTTCAGATTCTCAGGTATGGCAGAGGGCTTGCCCCCATCTGGATCTCTGGTGAAAATGTCCCCCAAGAGGAGGATATTCCAGACTGCCCCTGTGGAGCCAAGAGAATATTTGAATTCCAGGTATGACCTTAAATACGAATTATTTTACTAGGTAATTACCCTGCTTTATGTTTTTAAAACAAACATTACAAAACTACCAAAGTAACGTATGCACAGGGTCTGAATGGTATTACAGAAATTGCCCTACCATGAAAATCATGTTTCCTGCCCCACCTCAGGGCTTAAAACTGTCTTACTGCTTTATCTGGTAGTTTTTCCATCTCTAAGTAACATGACTTTCCTGTCATAATTTTACTAATTTCCAGATATTGGTGTGCTTCTACAATGATGAGGGTTTACATGTGTTCGCTTTTACCATCTGGACCAGCCCCCACCTCCCAGTATAAATACAGCATTATTTTCAGAGCCTCTGTTGTTCTCTTTGTAATTTTAAATAATACATCTTCCACTGATCAGGGTATGACTATGTTGTGAGAGGAGTGTTTCAGAACTTGCTCTACTTAATGTGGATTTGTGGATTTGTGAGGAAAACAAATGCATGTATCATTGATACATTAAGTGCCATTAAGGTAAATGTTTTTTCAAGAGATTGTTAGCATCAGAATCATTTTGGGGTTGGGTGGAAATCAATCCTCTAACAGTGGATTCAGTAACCTTACAGAGTGGTAGGTAATACTTGTTCCTTAGGGTAGAAAGGGAATTATGAGGACTGCATCCAACACTGGTTGGTTCTTAGTCACAAAGCTCTTGATGCCAAGATGAGCTGCCAGTGTGTGTGAAGAAGTTTCCTACTGGTGGGGCAGACCTTCACTCTTCCATCCAACTGCTGGCCTCCTGAGCAGACACCAACGGATTTCCTTTTTGTATTCATTAAACTGGTGTTCCTTCAGTCATTGCACCAGAACCTGCTGTTCAAATGACAGAA